ACAAATGGAAGAAGGAACAAGACAAGGGAGTCATCAATGAATGGCAGGACACAAGGAAGCTCAGAGGAACAGACAGATCTTGGGGTGTTTGTCTACGGATCCCTGAAGGTGGCAGGATGGGTTAATAGGGTCGTTAAAATGGCATAGGGACACCAGCCTTTAATCAGTCATGGCATAGATTATAAGAGCAGGGAGGTTATGTGGAGATGTACAGGACTTTGGTTAGGCCCCAGCTGGAGCACTGTGTGCAATTCTGGTCACCACACTATAGGAAGGATGTGAATACACTGGAGGGGGTGCAGAGGGAGATTCACCAGGATGTTGCCTGGGATGGATCAGGATAGCGATGGAGAGGGGCTGGATAAGCTCAGGTTGTTTTCTTTAGAGCAGAGAAGGTTAAGGAGCATCTGATAGAGGCATCTGATAGAGGTGGAAAAGATTATGGGTGGATAAGGAAGTCGGGGCGGGGTGGGTGATAGAAAGAACTGTTTCGCTTCGTCACAGAGTCAATAACAAGGGGGACATAATAACATATGGAAACAGAAATTGCTGGAAAAACTCAGCAGGTCTGGCAACATCTGTGGAGAGAAATCAGAGTTAATGTTTTGGTCACTGAACCCGGAACATTAACTCTGATTTGTCTCCAAAGATGCTGCTGGACCTGCTGAGCTTTTCCAGCAATTTTTGTTTTTGTTTCTGATTTCCACGGTTTTTTTTCGGCACAATAAAGTGAAAAACAGGAGGTTTATCATGGATTTGAGGAAAATTCTTTTCACCTGGAAGGTGGTGGGGATGTGGAATGCTGTGCCTGGGAGGGGAGCTGAGGTGGGAAACCTCATAAACTTTAAAAAAATTACTTGGACGAGCACTTGAAATATCATAACATTCAAGGCAATGGGCCTGGTGCTAGATAATGAGACTTGTGTATGCAGTGATATAGTTTTAGTGGTTAAAATTTTATGGGCTCTTCTGTATTCTATGATTCCCTCACTTTCCTCATTCACCATCCTGACTTGGAATGAAACTCCCTCCCTAACAGCACAGTGGTGTCCAGAACCTCAGGAACTGCACTGGTTTAAGAAGACAGCTCAGTACCACCTTCCCAACAGCAATTAAGAATGAGCAATAAATTTCAACTTAGGCCCCTAGCCCTCCTGATTACAATCAAACAAAATGTTTCCAGGAAATTCATGCCAAACATTCTCTCCTCAGGGCTTTGCCCTGGATCCATAGGCCACTGCTCCGTCTCTAGCCTATTCTCAACTGCCTTCCCAATGTACTGATATATTTTTCTGAAGAAGGGACCCGACCCAAAATGTCAGCTTTCCTGCTTCTCTGATGCTGCCTGGCCTGCTGTGTTCATCCAGCTCCTCACTGTGTTATCTTATACTGATATCTCCTTCTGTCTTTGCCTTTAATGTAGGTGCAGATCTGCAGAAGGACAGAGCTCAGGAGCGATGTGTGAGGGCTGCCGTAGGATCTCGTGTGTGTGCAGACTGGCATTGTCTCTCTCCTCGACCTGGCACTGATGACAGAGCTCAGGAGCAGTGTTATCCAAAGGCACAGACTTCTGCTAGATCATCCATGAGCCCAGACCGGCACTGGCACACACCACCTCTCGCTGTCAAGGACTTGCATCTGTCTCCCGGTAGCTACTGCTGCTTGTTCTCAGTAGATGGGCACTCTGTCAGAAAGAGGGGTGCAGGCAGGGCATTGACAGGTAGTGAGTGTGAACTGGGTGTAGCAGTGAGGGGCTGGGTGTGAGCCGGGCACAGGCAGTGAATGGGGAATCCAGCCGCTGACTGAATGTTTGCAGTTGAGTCATACTCACATTGGGGTTCTCGTGAATCATAAACTCTCAGCCCTTTTAATCTGCATCAAACCAGTCACAGGCTCTGGGGAACATTACATAGCAAAATACAAAATCAAAACAGACCATACCTCCACTGCCTTCTGAGGCAGACAAAACCTTGGACAAAGCATTTCTCCTAAGTGTGACCTACTTTTGTTTTTAATTCATTTGCGGGATGAGGGCATTGCTGGCTAGGCAGCATTTATTGTCCATCCCTAATTGCCCAGAGGGCAGTTAAGAGTCAACCACATTGCTGTGGGTCTGGAGTCACATGTAGGTCAAACCAGGTAAGGATAGCAGATTCCTTCCTTAAAGGACAATGAACCAGATGGGCTTTTCCAACAATCAACAATAGATTCACGGTCATCATTAGATTCTTAATTCCAGATATTTCATTGAATTCAAATTCCACCGTCTGCTATAGCGGGATTTGAACCCAGGTCCCTAGAACGTTATCTGGGTCTTTAGGTTAACAGTCCATTGACAATACCCCTAGGCCATCACCTCCTCCATTTACAGCAATGATGTGATTGGCTCCCAGGCAGAGGAACAGCTTGTGGCTGTAAACAAAATGGTCAGAAATCTTCAGAATGAAGAAGGGGCATGATTTTTCCATCTCTGTGTGCAGTAAAAAAAAACCTGAAGCCTGAAGAAAGCCAGTTTATATTCCCCTTACCAGTTATTCTAACTGGGCTTTTAAACCAGAGTATCTAAGTGACTTTGTAATCTGTGAACTAGTTGCTCTGTTCCTCCTGCAATCAAGTGAACGTAGTTGGAAAAGAGAGATTGAGAAGCAGTGAGTCCTAACAAGAAGGATAATCTTCTCAGTGAACCCCGTGGTTTGTCCCTTCACCTCTACAAAAATGTTTCTTCTGTGTGTGTTTTGTGTCTGTTTGTGTGTGTTTAGAGGGGGAGTTTATGAGGAGATTAGAGTTTTAACTAGTAGAGTTATGTGTCGATGGTTCATTATTGTTTACATGTAGCTAGACTATTTATTTGTAGTAAATAGTAATTCTTGTTTAGCACGGAAACATGGTTAGTGCTTTCTCTTTACCTGAGTCTGAAAGACAGTGACATAGGAGTTTACATTAATAAAATCTTTTAACTTTTGTGATAATTCCGGGAAAAGCAGGGATTGACTTCCAGCGTATTACCTCAGTGAGGAGTGACACCGGGAGTAGCAGGCCTCGAGTATCAATACACTTTGCCAAGTAGGGGAGGCAATGGCCTAGTTGTATTATCGCTGTAATTAGATTTTGCCTAGCCAGTGATGCCCTTATCCCGTTAATGAATAAAAAAAGTAGCAATGTTTTGTCATCAACAACTCATCACCACTCTACAGACCAATCAGCTACTTGTTACTGGCTGAATCTAGCTTCATACCCAGACCCTGGCTCCAGCTCATCTACAGAAACCTCTTGCCACGGCTTGACCAAGCAGCTGTGTAAACAGCACTTACAATGAGGGCCAGGGTATTTGTTTTATAAAAGTACAGCCATCCTTTCTGAATTCCTCAGTTTTTAAAACAGTTCTTTTCTCATTTCAGTCCACAATCAAAAATACAGAGAAATAGAGAGACAGTCTTTACACTGGGATCATCACTAAAGTTAAACTTTTAACTAAATTACTGAAAGTGCTCGATTTTGCTGTCTGAGAAGCTCAGGTTAATAGAAAATACTGACCAGATTTCTATACTCAACAAGAAACTATTATTTATTACAACCTAATAAAAACATCTGTTTTACTGTCGTGAAAACCATGAATTTGTAATTCTGACTTCTTCTTTTCCTTCTTAAACCCCAACATATCGATGCAGATGTACACAAACAGAAAAAAAACATTAATATTATGGGTGGAGAAAAATATATTGGGGAAACACAGTTCAATGGGGTATTCATTTGTATTGTCCCTTTTCTTTCCGGTTCTTCTGATCTCTGATAATCTTTGTTCCAAGTTCTTTCAGTCCTTCTCTGCAGACAGGGGCCTGAGATGATTCACTAGAAGTTCAGTTTCTCAGTCACTGGTTGGAGGCAGCAGTTCAGAGTCAAATGATGAATGAGAATCATTAGCTGTCTGCTAATTCTTCATTACTTCTCTGTGGGGAGAGAGTGTGATGCTGTCTGTGTAGAGTCTGGGGCCATTCTGCTACTGTATTGTTCCTACACAGGCTGCCCACCTACCTAGGAGCCAATCAGAGAGTTCTTGTCATGCTGAGTACTCCTGACCCACACAACTGATCCTTATTGAAAAACCAATCAACAGCTTGTCTGTGGGTAAAGCTGCCTTGAATACACCGCCATAGTACCAATGTGTCTCCACCATCCTCCCCCACTGCTTGAATAAAACAACTGTGTAAATAGAACTCCCAATTTGTTCTTGCAACTTTGTTTTAAAATTACAACATCTCCTTCCACAGTCTCCTTAGTTTGAAGCAGTCAACTTCCTATGTTGATCCACATTCCAAACTAAAGAAAAGTTTAAAAAAAAGTGTTGTTTACATCCACTCTCCTAAAAGGGTAAGCCCTGATTTTAAAACAGTGCCCTGTAGTTCTGGAGTGACCCTCGAGAGGAAACATCCTTCTCACAACCATCTTGAGAAGGCCATTCAGGATCTTATACACTTCAATCAAGGCACTGCTCATTCTTCTAAACAAGCTCAATCTGTCCAACTTTTCCCCATTAGATAGCCCACTAATCACAGATGTCAATCTAGTAAGCTTCTTCTGAACTCCCTCCAATGCATTTACATCCTCCTTTAAATAAAGGGACTCATACTGCACTCAGTATTGGACTCATTATTGCCTGTAGAACTAAAACACATCACATTCTTTTATGTTCAATTCCTATTTTAATAAAGGATAACATCCCCCCACATTCTCCCCATGTCTGCGTGGGTATCCTCCAGGTGCCCTGGTTTCCTCCCACTGTCCAAAGATGTGCAGGTTAGGTGGATTGGCCATGCTAAATTGTCCATAGTGTCCAGGGGTGTGCAGGCTCAGTTGGTTAGCCATGGGAAATGCAGGGTTACAGGGATTGGATGGGGAATGCTGTTCGGAAGGTAAGTGTGGACTCAATGGGCCGAATGGCTTGCATCCACACTGGAGGGATTCTATGATCCCATTAGCCTTCTTGATTACAAACCCTCACCTTGTTAATCTGTATTAAATATGTGCCACACTGTATTGAACTATTAGAGGGAGTCCTGGGTTAAATTGAGGACAGTGAGCTTCCAAACCCAGTCTGGGGATTTCCCCACTGATGGCAGCTGTGTAACCCATTCCTGACAAGGACAGAAAGAGTGTCTGAGCGCAGTCTGAGAGACACAGCCTGAAATGTAATGAATTTTATTTCAAAGTCTTTTTAGTTCATTAGAGTCAGTTTCTCATGTGTTTATGCATCTTTCCACAGCTCGTAACCAACTGAGCAGAGAAACAGCAAGGTCAGTGTAACATTATATACCGACAAGGGCATATGTTATTCACAGACCAACAGGGTCTCTACTTATTCCCAGACCAATATGGAACTGTGCATAATTCCCAGACAGTTAGGGTCAATGCAATATTCCCAGACAGATAGGGTCCTTGATTTAATTTGGGCTGACACAGGTCATGGGTTATCCCTGGATTGCTACGGGTCATGTTTGCACTGTTCATGCTGTTTGTGCTTTATATTTTCCTTGGCTGCTGTTTGGGAAGGGGGCCGGCAGCTGTGCTGTAATGAGAGTGAGGTTCAGCCCTCTCCCTGCTTGGCACACTAATGTCTCCTATTTTGTATTTCCAGCTCCCGGGATGATCAACTTCACCTCAGTGGACTCAGTGGGGTTAGTGACATCGTAGCTGACTTGTTCAATGAGGGAAAATTGTCAATGAAAAGCCTGGGCCTGTCTCAACAACAAATTGAGAAACTCTCAAGGTATGGATTGCCAATGACGCTGCTTTTGACATGTCCCTCCCCGCAGCCAGCCACATTCACCGGCGAATGAGAATATGAGCTGTAAAACAGATCATTCCAGTTCAAAAAGACAGCATGGTGGCTCAATGGTTAGCACTGCTGCCTCACAGCAACAGGGACCTGGGTTCAATTTCACCCTGTGACTGTGTGGGTTTCCTCTGGGTGCTGCGGTTTCCTTCCACAGTCCAAAGATGTGCAGGTTGGGTGGATTGACCATGTAAATTGCCCATAGTGTCCAGGGGTGTGCAAGCTAGGTGGATTACCCACGGGATAGGGTACCAGGATGGATCTGGGTGGGATGCTTTTCGGAGGATCACTGTGAACTCGATGGGCTAAATGACCTGCTTCCACACTGTAGGGATTCTGCAATTCTGTATTAATGATACTATATCAGGTAGGCCACATCTGGGAATGTTTGATGGGACACTGTAGAGGGAGCTTTACTTGTATCTAACCCCAGGTTGTCCCTGTGCTGGGAGTGTTTGATGGGGGTGGTGTTGAGGCAACATGACTGTTGGTATACCCACTTCCTGCTTCTCCACGTTTCCATGCACGCACTCACTTATCCTTTGTTTTGGGAATCAGCAGGTATTCTAAGCCTCCAAAAAGAAGTGTGCAGGAACAGAAGGAGATTCAGGAATGGATGAAACACAAGAGACAGCAGAGGTTTGCAACATATCGACAATATAGAGAAGATCTGAAGAGTAAGGAGCGATCACCATACCATGCCAAGGACAAGCAGGTGAGAAACAGGCTTCTTTCCTGTTGCACTGTGCATGTCGACAACCAGGAGCAGAGAACTCTTCCAATGTCAGTTGTTAGTTGATTCCACTGACCATTTTTATTTTCATCGCAGAAGAAAGTCACAAACAAAGAAATTAAAGAACACCAGAAGCAGACTGCAGTAAAGAAGAGGTAATTATTTAACATTGTGCCCACCTCCACTTGGGAGACTGACTGATTCACCATGTGTATCGTAACCTTGAGACTTATTGATTCATTGTTTTTCATAACTTTGAGATTCACTGATTCTCCCTGTATATTGTAACTCCGAGACTGACCAATTCATTATCTGTGTTGCAAGCAGAAAGTGCAACTCATCATGAATAATAAACTCTTCCAAATCTATGTGCAGTTTGCCGATTGACTTTCCATGTAACTCAGCTTCACATCAAATACCGGTCCAATTTCCTTTTGAAAGCCTTGATTCAACGTCATACCACACTCTCAGCCAGTACATTCCAGACCCTAACTCGAGTGAACCTGCCTCCCCCCACACTCTCAGACAGTACATTCCAGACCCTAACCACTCGAGTGAACCTGCCTCCCCCCACACTCTCAGACAGTACATTCCAGACCCTAACCACTCGAGTGAACCTGCCTCCCCCACACTCTCAGACAGTACATTCCAGACCTTAACCACTCGAGTGAACCTGCCTCCCCCACACTCTCAGACAGTACATCCCAGACCTTAACCACTCGAGTGAACCTGCCTCCCCCACACTCTCAGACAGTACATCCCAGACCCTAAGCACTCAAGTGAACCTGCCTCCCCCACACTCTCAGACAGTACATCCCAGACCGTCTCTACTCTTCCTTCATAGGTTCACATTCCTGTTTCTAGGAACCATTCTTGGAAACCTCTTTTGCGCTCTCTACAATGCATTCAAATGCCTCCTAATGTGCGGCACCAAGACCTGGAAACCTGCAACAAAACTCGTACTTGTACATGTTTAGTATCACCTCCTTGTTCTTGTACTCTGTGTCCCTGGTAGGAAAGTCTAGCCCACTGTTTGCTTTATCAACTGCTCTCTTCAGCTGTCCTGCCACCTTCAATGGCTTTTGCATCAAAGTTCGTCTGCTTCTACAGACCTTTAGAGTTGTGCCCTTTAGTTTATATTGTCTGTACATGTTCTTTGTACAAAAATGAACCACTTCATATTTCTTCACTCTGAACTTCATATGCCAGCTATCTCCCTACTACTTCAACTTGTCCACAGCCTTTCAAAGTTCTACATTGTCCTCCTCACAGCTTACAATGCTTTAAGATTTGTAATCATCAAAATTGTGCCCAGTACACCAGGGTCAGGAAATGAGACTGTCCCTGCACAGACCCCTGGGGAACTGGACTGTGAATGTTCCTTCAGCACGAGAAGTGCCCTTGACCATGACTCTCTGTTTCCAGATTATCAACCAATTTTGAATCCACATTGCGACTGTCCATTTTATTCCATGAGTTATAAATTTTCTCACAAATCCTGTAGTGGCACTATGCCATTTTCTGGAAGTCCGTGTATGCCACATCAACAGCATTACCGTCATCAAAAATGAGGTAGATTTTGGGAATTCCATGCTGGCTTTCTTTACTAAACCAAAATTTGCCCAAATCACTTTAATTTTGTCCCAATTATTGTTTCTTAATGTTTCATCACCACCAAAGTTAAACTGACAGGCCTGCAGTTATTGGGCTTTTTTTCTTAATCATTTGTGGGATGTGGGCATCACTGGTCCAAAATTTATTGCCCGTCTCTAATTACCTTTGAGAAGGTAGTGGTGGGCTGCCTTCTTGAACTGCTGCAGTTCATGTGCTGTAGGTTGACCTACAATGTTGTTAGAGAGAGAATTTCAGGAATTTGACCCAGGAACATGGAAGGAATGGCGATATATTACCAAGTCAGGATTGTGAGGGGAACGTGCAGGTGTTGGGGTTTCGATGTATCTGCTGCCCTTGTCCTTCTAGATGGAAGTGGTTGTGGGTTTGGAAGGTGCTGTCTAAGGTTAGAACACAAAATAGTGCAGCACAGGAACAGCCTTTCAGCCCGCCATGTGTGTGCCGACTATGATGCCATTCATACGGTTCGTATCCCTCTATTTCCTGACTGTTCATGTATCTGTCTAGATGCCTCTTAAACATTGCTATCATATCTGCTTCTACCACTTTCCCTGGCAGCATGTTCCAGGCACCTCCATGTAAAAAAACTTGACCTGCCACCCACATCTCCTTTAAACTTCACCCCATCCCCCCCCATCACCCTAAATATTGCCCCTTAGTATTTGACATATTCGCCTGGGTAAAAGACTCTGACTATCCACCCAAGCCATGTCTCTCAGAATTTTATACACTTCTATGAGGTCACCACTCAGCCTCCATTGCTCTAGTGAAAGCAATCCCAGTTTGTCCAACCTCTCCTTCTGGCTAATACACTCCAATCCAGGCAACATCCTGGTAAATCTCTTCTGCATCCTCTCCAAAGCATCCACATCCTTCCTATAGTTGGGTGACCAGAATTGCACACAGTACTCCAAATGGCCTAACTAATGTTTTATACAACTGCAACATGACCTGCCAACTTCCATGCTCAATGCCTTCACCAATGAAGGTAAGGATCTTTGGTAAGTTTCTGCCATGCAACTTGTAGATAGTATACACTGCTGCTACTGAGTGTCAGGGCTGGAGGAAGTGGATGCTTGTGGATGTGCAGGTGGTGGGTGCCTGGAACGCGTTGCCAGCGGAGGTGGTAGAGGCGGGCACGATAGCGTCATTTAAGATGTATCTAGACAGATACATGAATGGGCAGGGAGCAGAGGGATACAGATCCTTGGAAAATAGGCGACAGGTTTAGATAGAGGATCTGGATTGGCACAGGCTTGGAGGGCCGAAAGGCCTGTTCCTGTGCTGTAATTTTCTTTGTTCTTTTGTTTCTTTGTTCAATCAAGTGGGTTGCTTTGTCTGGAAGGTGTCAGGCTTCTTGAGCAGGTTGTTGGAGCTGCACCCATCTTGGAAAGTGGGGAGTATTCCATCACCCTCCTGACTAGTGACTTATAAATGGTTACCAGGCGTTGGGGAGTCAGGAGGTGATTTACTCGCTGTAGTATTCTTAGCCTCTGACCTGCTATGGTAGCCACTGTGCTTGTACAGTGAGTCAAGCTGAGTTTCTATTCAAAGTAAACCCCAGGATGTTGATAGTGGGGGATTCACTGATGGTAATACCATTGAATGTCAAGGGGCGGTGGTTAGAATGTCCCTTATTTGAGATGGTCATTGACTGGCATTTGTGACGCATTAATGTTACTTGCTACTTGTCAGCCCAAGCCTGGATATTGTCCAGATTTTGTTGCATTTGGACATGGACTTCTTCAATATCTAAAGTTGCTGAAGGTTGTACAATCATCAGCAAACATCCCCACTTCTGACCTTATGATAGGGGGAAGGTCATTGGTAAAGCAGCTGAAGATGGTTGGGCTGAGGACACTACCCTGAGGAACTCCTGCAGAGATGTCCTGGAGCTGAGATGACTCACCTTCAATAACTATCTTCCTATGTGTCAGGTGTGACTCCAACCACCGGAGCGTTTGCCCCCTGATACCCATTGGTTCCAGTTTTGCCAGGGCTCCTTGATGCCACACTCGGTCGAATGCAGCCTTGATGTCAAGGGCTGTCACTCTCACCTCCCTTCTGCAATTAGTTCTTTTGTCGAAGTTTGAGCCAAGGCTGTAATGAGGTCAGGAGCTGAGTGGCCCTGGCAGAATTCTGGAATCAAGGATTTTACAGCAAAGCATTTAGAAAGCCGCAGCAGGATCACACAGAATCAGCATGGATCTATGAAGGGGATTGACACGTCTGTTGGAATTCTATGAAGATGTAACTAGTAGAGTTGATATTGGGAAGTTGGTCGATGTTGTATATTTGGACTTTCAGAAAGCGTTTGACAAAGTTTCATATAAGAGATTAATGTGCAAGATTAAAGCGCATGGGATTGGGGGAAGCGTATTGAGATGGATAGGAAACTGGTTGGCAGAGAGAAAACAAAGAGTAGGAACTAATGGGTCCTTTACACATTAGTTGGCAGGAACTAGTGGGGTCCCACGGGGATCGGTGCTGGGACCCCAGCTATTCACAATATATATTAAGGATTTGGATGAGGGAACAAAATGTACTATCTCCAAGTTTGCAGGTGATACCCTGTTGGGTGGGAGGGTGAACTGTGACAAGGATGCAGAGATCCTTCAGCATGATCTGGACATATTGGGTGAGCGGGCAAATCAATGGCAGATGCAGTATAATTTGGATAAATGTGAGGTTATTCACTTTGGAAGCAAAAACAAAAAGGCAGATTACTACCTGAATGGCTGTAAATTCGGAGAAGGGAGTGTGCAGTGGGACCTGGGTGTCCTTGTGCACCAGTTGCTGAAGGTAAGAATGCAGGTGCAGCAGGTGGTAAAGGAGGTAACTGGGATGTCGGTCTTCATTGCGAGTGGTTTTGAGTACAGTCGCAGGAACGTGTTGTCGCAGTTATACTGGGCCTTGGTGAGACCACACCTGGAATACTGTGTGCAGTTTTGGTCTCCTTTTCTGAGGAAGGATGCTCTTGCTCTCAAGGGAGTGCAGCGAAGGTTTACCAGGCTGATTCCGGGGATTGTGGGTCTGACATATGAGAAGAGATTGACTCGGTTGGGATTGTTTTCGCTAGAGTTCAGATAAATGAGGGGGGATCTCACAGAGACGTATAAAATTCTAACAGGACTGGACAGGGTAGATGCAGGGAGGATGTTCCCGATGGTGGGTGTGTCCAGAACCAGGGGTCACAGTCTGAGGATTTGGGGTAGATGATTTAGGATGGAGATGAGGAAACATTTCTTCACCCAGAGAGTGGTGAGCCTGTGGGATTTATTACCACAGGAAGCAGTTGATGCCAAAACATTGAATGTAATCAAGAGGCTACTAGATATAGCACTTGGGGGCGAATGGGATCAAAGGTTATGGGGAGAAAGCAGGATGAGGCTATTGAGTTGGATGATCAGCCATGATCATGATGAATGGCAGAGCAGGCTTGAAGGGCCGAATGGCCTCCTCATTCTCCTATCTTCTATGTTTCTTCTATGGAACTCAAACTGGGCGTCACTGAGCAGATTATTGCTGAGCAGGTTCTGCTTGATAGCTCTGTTACTGACACCTTCCATCGCTTTACTGATGATCGAGAGGAGACTGATGGGGCGGTAATTGGCCGGGTTGGATCTGTCCTGCTTTTTATGTGCAGGACATTCCTGGGCTATTTTCCGTGTTATCGGGTAGATGCCAGTGTTGTAACTGTGCTGGAACAGCTTGGCCAGGGGAGCGGCAAGTTCTGGAGAACAAGCCTTCACTACTATTTCCATAATGTTGTTAGGGCCCATTGTCTTTGCAGTATTCAGTGTCTCCAACCATTTCTTGATATCACATGGAGTAAATCAGATTGGCTGCAGACCGGTATCTGTAATGCTGGGGACCACTGGAGGGGACACTTCTGTTTTGTATCCCTGGGTCTGGACAAATATCTCTGACTCATATCACTGGCTCTGTATAATTCATTGTGTGTATCAGTAACTCTTGGTGTTTTTGAATGAACTGTTTGTCCTGTGCAGCATCACCTTCCCCTCACAGCCCTGTCTCTGTAAATGTTATGTTAAGGGTGTGTCTTGGTAACGTTCAGGTTTGTGTGTTCCCGGGGTTCTCTATGGACTTCACTCTTGCTGAGAAGTTATTTCTCCATTTCTCTCCAGGGTAACTCTGGCTGTGAACCATGAACAGCGAACACAGGCAGCACTCAGCTTGATGAACGAGATGTTGTGTGACACCATTCAGCTTCCAGCGACTCGTCCACGAGCTCTGAGGGAAAGGCCACTAAAGTCAGCTCGAAGCACTCGGTCTCGGCCGAGCAGCACACAAAGAGGGTAAGTAAAGGAGGGACTCCACCAACAGGGATTTAATGGAGGAAAGACAAGCTCCCAGTCAGACTTGGCCATATTGTGAAGTGAGGAAATCCATCTACCCTTTTCCTCAAAAGCATCCCGAAGCTAAATCACCCCATCCCTTTAAGCCCTTCTACAGAGTGAAGGGCAGCTATCACCATGCAGGATATGAACCAATATACTCCTGTCCCTGACAGAAACATTGCTGTTCTCAGGGCTTGGCATGACTCAGATAATGTTTCTGCAGTCGGTGTCTGCCTGTCTGTGTGTCTGCCTGTCTGTGTGTCTGCCTGTAAGTTAGTGAGTGGGTCAGTGTGAGTGTGTTTGAAGTTCACCCTCTCACTCTGTTGTTTTCCAGGAGGTGTGCAGCATCTCGCAGTCTCTCAGCCAGTCGGGCGGAGCGCAGTTTTTCTCAAACCTACTCGATTGCAACTCGATGCCGTTCTGTGTCTGCATCACCTGGACGAGGGGGGCCATCAGGTACGTCAGTCACTACTCTCACCACATCCACCACCATTCCCCACCCCACTTGGGGGAAGGGGTCAGTCACTGCTCAACTCCCAGAGGGAGTGAGGGGGTGAAATCAGTCACTGCATAAACATCTGTGTGAGCAGTACAGTTACTTATTAAGTATTCGTCCTTCCCATCGACCAACCAGGTCGTACTTACCACCAGTGTCCACCTATCACCACCAGCTCCTTTCCTCTTGATGCTGCCTGGCCTGCTGTGTTCTTCCAGCCTCCTGTTTGTCTGCCTTGGATTCTAGCATCTGCAGTTTTTTTTTATCTCTAACTTACTGAATATCAGCCTGAATGTCTGTCACATTAAGAATTTACAGGGTCCAGCTGATCCACACTGATGTCCTTGTGCAGTCTGTAGTAAATAATCTGATCCCACTGTTGTTTTGGTTTAGGAGCCTTGAGACCAACAGCCCAGAGGAGACCTTGCCCGGGTACCAGGCCGACAGACTGTGGAGTCAGCAAACACAAGCATGCCAGGCCTGGTAAGTATCTCATAATCCCTCAAACCTGGCAGTGTCAGAGAGGGTCCATTACTGCAATGTGAAAGCTCAGTACCTCACTGAGTGAGATCAGTCATTCATACCAGCCCCTTCCTGCTGTAATACCAAAACAGAAAGTGCTAGAGAAATTTAGCAGATCTAGCAGCATCTGTAAGGATAGAGAAACAGAGTTAACATTTCAAGTCCAATATGATGACTTTGTCATTGAAGGGAGAGGTTTTATCCTGTAGAGAAAGGAGCTAGTGGAGCAAAAAGGAAGGTTAGGAAGCACAGGTCTCACCAAACAAAATACAAGAGAAGTGCTAATGATTGTAGAGAAGTGACTTTGATCCATAGTAGGTGTTAATAGCAGAATGTAGGTCAGCTCTGCTATAAGCAGAACTAAGAATCCCAGACATTGCTTACCCTGCATTTCCTTAGCAATATGGACAGCATTGATCATGTCCAGAAGTTTTTGAACTCAATGTTGAGTCCCAACAGCTGTAAAGTGCCCAAATGGAAAATGTTGGGTTTTCTTTGTCATTTTTTTAAGGGAAGTGGGCATGGTTGCCAGGGTGTGTCCCAGAACAGTAGCCTGGTGCTCTGGATAATTTATTTAGTGAGATACCTTGGCACTATTCTAATTACATCCTAGTGGTTAGGAATTCTAAGAGATAACCGAAACAAAAAAAAGCTTGAAAACATTATAAAGCAGCAGCCAAAATCTTCAAATACTGCACTTCCCACATTTCCAACAAGTTAGTAGTTACACCTATGTCCCATGAACCAATAAATAAAATGCCACCATCTCCCCATGTTTGCCAATGATATCAATTTAGAGGAGTGGCAGATACTGACAGGGTTACAAATTGCCAGACATTAATGGGAGAGCGGAACGTGGAACACAGGAACGGGAGGAGACCATTCAGCCCCTCAAGCTTGTTTCACCATTCATGGCTGATCTGTGGCCTAACTCCATATACCTGCCTTTGGCCCATATCCTTTCATAGCTTTGCTTAACAATGTGCAGACAAGTGGCAGTTGGAATTTAATGCAGAGAGGTTTTTCCATTTAGACTAAAGGAATGGTGATTCTATTTAGACTAAAGGAATGAGAAGGGGCAGTATTGACTTCATGGCACCATTCTAAAAGCTGAAGGAACTCTGGGTACATGTGCATCGATCTTTGAGTGTCAAATCTCTGCTCCCAGAAACACTGGGATTGAATACAGAGAGGTGGTGCTGAACCTTTACAAGGCTCTGGTTAGGCTCCACCTTCAGTATTGTGTTCCGTTCTGGTTCCCACATTTCAGGAAGGATGGCCGAAACCTTAAGGGGCTACAGATGAGATTTACTGGAATGGTTCCAGGAATGAAATGGTTACAATGGAGAAGCTGGGGCTGGTGTCCTCAGAGTGAAGGAGATCGAGATGGGGATCTGATCGAGGTGGAAAGGATTCTGATAGATTTGGGTATGGGAGACAAGGAAAGTCACTTCTTATTGGCTGAGAGTCCTAAAAGGGCAGAGGGGATGCTCACAAGTTTACAGTTTTAGATGAGAGATGCGGAGCAAAACCGTTTTTCCGTAGCCTGGAGCTCTGTGCCCACAGGGTTGGGGGTTTGGGAGGTGGAAGCTGAAACAGTCAATGAATTGAAAAGGAAATTGGACAGGCACTTGAGGGAGATAAACCTGCAAGATTACTAGGATCGGGTGGAGGCAGTGGGAATCACTGGTCTCCACCGTATCATTAACAACTCAGTGACTCCTCAGAAACTGCTCGAAACAAAACTCCTTGACAGGATCATTGTCTTATTCCACTCTCTTCCTGTTTCGATACAAGATAAAGGTCATCAGTGCCTGGATGATCTCCAATGTTGGACCATTAGTAACCATTAGTGCTGCAACATGAACCTCAGCACTGAAAGTGGCCTGTTTGGATTTCTGTTCTCAAAAGGAAGTGCAAACCATGTTAAGAAATGTTGAATTCAATGCAATTTACTCTTTTATGCAAGGAAACAACTTTCCACTGCCTTCCCATCTGCACCCCTTAAAGTTGCTTTTTCATGAGTCAGGGAGGGTTGTGGCCCAAGTCAGGGGATTATGGGCATACCCAGGGACAAGCGAGACACTGAGCCTCCCCAGGGGCCAGAGACAGCCAGCATGATATTGTGGTGGTCCCTGTGTATTGATGATGATTGGCTGCATTCCTTCTCTAGACTGTCATCAGTTCTCACTCAGGCCTTCCTTCCAAACTTCACATTCAGCAGAAGATGAATCCAACTCAGACACTGACTCTCTGACCCACTGGAACACCCCAGAACAGATTCGTCAGATTCTGGACCGCAAGGATGATCCTTTCCTGCAGGTAACTGGAGAGCCTGGGCTTGGGGCTGAGGCTGGGTCCAGCTGGGAATGGGAAGGAGCGGGGCTGAGGCTGGGTCCAGCTGGGAATGGGAAGGAGTGGGGCTGAGGCTGGGTCCAGCTGGGAATGGGAAGGAGCGGGGCTGAGGCTGGTTCCAGCTGGGAATGGGAATGAGAATGAGTGGGGATGAGACTGGGTCCAGCTAGAAATGGGAAGGAGTGGGGCTGAGGCTGGGAACCTGGTTGGCTTCAGGATGAACATTGATGGGACTGAGCTGTTGGAATGAGGAGATGGTACTCGTGCAGTTTAATTCCACAATGATTTGTTCCTTAGGTTGCTGATTTGGCCAAGGCTGGTAGTGCCACAGATTCCGAGCTATCTGATAGTACCAGCAGTATCCTCGGTAATCTGGACTGGAATGCAGTGAACAAGATGCTGGCCAGTGTGGAGCAGTCCTGAACTGTGGAACACTCATTTGCAAAGACATAGCTACTCATTGTAGGCCAATGGTATTGGTGGGACTAAGTGTCGCCACCTGTAGGAGTGGAACAAACTAACAGGCCACAGTGAGAATGAGTGGCCTGTACCCTGAATAAGCACTGACTCTGCACAGTTACACAGAGCCTGCTGAATAAATACAGATATCACTAGGACTGTTTTGTCCCCTTTCCAGATTTCACAGGTTGGTGAATATGTGCCCAAGGTGAATACAAGTCTGGGCAGTTATATTTAAATAGAATTTTGATAATACTGACTATTTTGAATACTATTGATCTTCAGGTCTGATTGGATATCAGATATTGTATTTTTATATCTTTTTCTTTGTTTCTATGGGACACTTTGGGTGGCTGTTACCCTAAATAAACACGGTCTCGTTCCTTTATAAGTAAAGGTTTACACTCTGATAGGAATTGAGTTTAATACTGATAAGCCTGCAGGTTGTTATTGTTAAGCCTCACTGGAGTGAGGCATTGGGCACAGACTGAATCAGGGCAGAGGGATGCTGCATTGACATGGAGATCCTGCCCAAGGAGGAGGAACCCAGTCAGTGGTCCATCTGCTGTAGACACATTATGATGAGACAGTTGAATCCTGATTCTCTCATAGGACTCTCTATCTCTGGGAATCTTTGTCTTCATTTCATTATCCTTGACCTAGAAAGATAGTGTTTTTATAGCATGGGAAGAGGCCCTTCAGCCAATCTTGTCCATATTGGTCATCAAACATCCATCTATTCCAATCCCATTCCCAGCACTTGGCCCACAGCTTTGTGTGCCATGGCATTTCAGAAGCTCATCTGAACACTTCCTGAATGTCTTAAGGATTCTGTCTCTAGCACTCTTTTAATGTAGAGAGTTCTTGGTATCCACAGCTTTCTGGTTAAAACGATTTTCTCAAATCCCCTCTAAACCTCCTGCCCTCTCCCTTAAACCTATGCTCCCGATAATTGACGCCTCTAAGAGGGAACATTTCTATCTATCCTATCTATACTCTTATAACTTTGTACATCTCAAACAGATTCCCCCTCAGCCATTCAATCCCCATTTCATCTGTGTAGTGATTGGAACCAGGTGGACCTTGCTGACTATGCAATCCTTGATTGAAGTTGTTAACCTGGGCCAATCAGCAAGACTTGGCCAACCAATATAAACAGGGAATACAAGCACTGCTGCTGTATGGCAGTGGTTTGGAAAAAATATATAAACAGGAAATTTAGAAACTCCTCAGTTCAAGGGACTGACTCTGAGCTGGCTAGCCACAACTAGTGGTACTATGGATTTTTTTTTTCACTTTTTGAGAATGGATTTCCAGACTGGCTGGGTCATAGCCAATGTTATTGCTGGGTTTTAATTCTCAGTGGGGAACTGCTTTTTTAAACAGGCTGGTTACAGCTAGTGTATTGTTGTTTTTGGAATTGAAGCAAAGATGACTTGGCAGCAACGCTTGCTCCTTCTACCACAGTTTTAAATATTTGCACTTTACTTTTGCACGGGTTTTCATCTTTTTGTGTCTGGACTGAGCCTCCATGAGTCAGCTGTGCCTTTGTGAGTGAGCTAGGCCTCTGGTGGACTAGGCCCTCTGTGGGTGGGCCGTATCCTTGAGAGTAGGTCTGGCCTCTGGGAGCCTGCTGTGTTTCTGCAAGCGGACCAGGCCTCCAGGATGGACTGAGTATCTGAATGTACGCTGCGAGGTGTGGGCTTGCTGTCTTCGGGCGTGAACCCAGGCCCTCGGGCGCGGACTCAGCCCTTTGTGCTTGGATTGTTTTGTACGCCCTGTGTTTTGCGTGTCCCTGTGTCTAGCAGGCCTTGCCGAGAGCCAGAAGGTGAGTAGGTTGTTCCGAACGCTGGATGGTACGTAGGTTGTCCTGAAAGCTGTTGCCCTGAGCGTCGGAAGGTGGGGTACATCACCCTGAAAACTGTTGTCCTGGTGAGGAATAGGGACGGGCTGTGCTAGAGGTGGCTGGAAGGTGCATAGGGCCAAGCCAAGAGCCGGAAGCTGCATAGGGGCAGGCTATCCTAGAGGTGGTCGGAAGGTGAGCAGGGACAGGCCAATTCCTGGTTTGCCAAGGGAGTCAGTGTTGCGTGCATTGCTTTTTTGTTGTTTGTTCGTATCGATTTATCTGGTGTAGTTTTGCTTACGATTTTTGTTATGGCGAGTTACGGTGGGATTTGGGGTTCGGTTATTGTCCCAATTTCCCTGTAAGTTGTTGACTGATTGCATGGTGGGATTTGGGGTGTGTTTCTCCATCCCCATTTCCATGTAAACTCTTGTTTGTTTCATTGACTGTCACCTTGATTTTGTTTTGTATCTTTGTACAGTTTAATAAAAGTGTATAACTCTGAAAAAAAATATGAACAGGGAATACAAGGACTGCTGCAGTATGGCAGTAGTGAAGGGCTTTGGGAAAAAACAGTATAAACAGGGAATTTGGAAACTCCTCAGTTCAGAGGACTGACTCCAAACTGGCTGGCCACAGCCTGTATACTGTGCGCAAGTAAATAAAGGGTGACTTGGTGACGGGACACTGGTCTCTGCGCAGTTAGTCAGAGAGTAATAGAGCATGAACACAGGCCCTTTGGCCCAAACTGGTCCATGCTGACTGTGGTGCCCACTCAGCTAGTTCCTATTACCTGCATTTGGTCCATATCCCTCTAAGCTCCTCCCATCCATGTACCTATCCAAATGTTTTTTAAATGTTGCTATTGTACCTGCCTCAACCACTTTGTCTGGCAGCCCATTCCATATAAACACCACTCTTTATGTGAAGAAGTTGCCCCTCAGGTCCTTCTTAAATCTATCCCCTTTCACCTTAAACCTATGCCCTCTAGTTTTCAATTCCCAATTCCTGGGGAAAAAGACTATATGCTTTCATGCTATCTATGCCCCTCATGATTTTATACACCTCAATAAGGTCACCCCTCATTCCCCTACATTCCAAGGAATAAAGCCCTATCCTGGCCAACCTCTCCCTATAACTCAGGCCTATTAGTCCTGGCAACATCCTCGTAAATCTTCTTTGCACACTTTCCAGTTTAACTGTGTCTTTGTTATAATAGGGTGACCAAAACTGCACACAATACTCCAAGCGCGGCCTCACTAGCGACTTATACAACCGTAACACAACATCCCAACTCCTATATTCAGTGCCTTGACTGATGAAGGCCAGCATGCTAAAAGCGTTCTTCACCACCCTGTCTACCTGTGATGCTGCTTTCAACAAACTGTGTACTTGTACTCCTAGGTGCCTCTGTTCCACAACACTCCTCAGGACCTTATCATTTACTGTATAAGTCCTACCTTCGTCTGACTTTCCAAAGTTAACATCTCACACTTATCTGTAATGAATAGTATTGGCCAATCCTCAGCCCACTTCCCCATCTGATCAAGATCCCTCTGTAATTTTTGATAATCTTCCTCGCTATCAATGATACTTCCTAATTTTGTGTCATATGCAAACTTACTAATCATGCCTTGTACATTCACATCCAGATCATTTCTGTAAATAACATACAACAAAGGTCCCAGCACCGACCCCTGTGGCACACCACTAGTCACAGGCCTCCAGTCCGAAAAACAACCTTCAACCATCACCCTCTGTTTCCTACCATTGAGCCAATTATGAATCCAATTAGCTAGCTTTCCCTGGATCCCATGAGACCTAACTTTCATGACTAACCTGCCATGTGGGACCTTGTCAAAGGCCTTACTAAAGTCCATATAGACAACATCCACTGCCCTACCCTCATCCATCCTCTTGGTTACCTCTTTGAAAAACTATAAAAGATTTGTCAGACATGATTTCCCCCACACAAATCCATTCTGACTATCCATAATCAGACCTTGACTATCCAAATGTTGATTGATCCTGTCCCTCAGTATCCTCTCCAATAACTTGCCTACCGCTGATGTCAGGCTCACTGGCCTGTAGTTCCCTGGCTTGTCTTTGCTACCTTTCTTAAACAATGGAACAACATTAGCCACTCTCCAGTCTTCTGGAACTTCACCAGTGGCTAAAGATGAAGCAAAAATCTCTGCAAGGACCTCTGCAATTTCTTCACTAGCCTCCCACAATATCCGAGGATGGACTTGATCAGGCCTAGAGGACTTACCCGCCTTAATGCACGTTAAGGCTGCACACCTCATCTCTGGTAATATGTATGCAGTTCAAAACATCCCCACCTGTTTCCCTTATTTCCTTAGCATCCATGATTCTCTCCTCAGTAAACACGGAGAAGAAATGTTCATTAAAAATCTCTCCCATCTCCTGTGGCTCCACACATAGACGGCCATGCTGATCTTTAAGGGGACCTATTCTCTCCCTAGCCATCATTTTACTCTTAATATAGCTACAGAACCTTTTGGGATTGTCTTTAACCTTATCTGCCAGATCCATCTCATACCCTCTTTTGCTATTCTGATTTTCCTCTTGAATGTGCTCCTGCACTTTTTATAGTCATCTAGGGATTCACTTGAGCCCAATAGCTTAAACCCAATGTTTGCCTTCTTCTTTATCCTGACCAGAGCCTCAATATCCCTCGTCTCCCTGGACTCTTGATATCACACTTTTAAAAGCCTCCCATTTGCCAGTCATTCCTTTTCCTTCAAACAGACCCACCCTATTCATCTCTGCTAGATCCTGCCTAATGGTCCCAAACCTGGCCCTGCTCCAGTTTAGCACCTTAACCTGTGGACCTGTCGTATCTTTTTCTAACTAAGAGAGTTATGGTCACTGGACTCTTAGTGCTCTCTGACTGACACTTCAGTCACTTGCCCAACCTTGTTTCCTCAGAGGAGGTACAGTATTGCACCCTCCTGAGTAGGGCCCTCTGCATAGTGATTTAGGGAACTTTCCTGTACACATCTGACAACTTCCAGTACAGCTACAACACTGGTATCTACCCGACAATGTGGAAAATTGTCCAAGTATGTCCTGTACATAAAAAGCAGGACAAATCCAACCCGGCCAATTACCGCCTCATCAGTAAAGTGATGGAATGTGTCAGTAACAGAGCACCTGCTCAGCAATAACCTGCTCAGTGATGCCCAGTTTGGGTTCCGCCAGGGCCACTCAGCTCCTGACCTCATTCCAGCCTTGGTTCAAACGTGGACAAAAGAGCTGAATTCCAGAGGTGTGGTGAGAGTGACAGCCCTTGACATCAAGGCTACATTCGACCGAGTGTGGCATCAAGCAGCCCTCGCAAAACTGGAATCAGTGGGTGTCGGGGTAAATGCTCTGGTGGCTGGAGTCATACCTGACACATAGGAAGATGGTCGTGGTTGTGGGATGTCAATCATCTCAGCTCCAGGACATATCTGCAGGACTTCCTCAGGGTAGTGTCCTCGGCCCAACCATCTTCAACAGCTTCATTGATGACCTTCCTTTCATCATAAGGTCAGAACCTATTCACATTTAATTGCAACAAGACCTAGACAATATCCAGGCTTGGGCTGAGAAGTGGCAAGTGACATTTGCACCATGCCAGGACAAAGCAGCCACTTGATTGGCACCACATCCACAAACATTCACTCCCTCCACCGACATGCAGTAGCAGCAGTGTGTACTATCTACAAGATGCACTGCAGAAATTCACCAAAGATCCTCAGACAGCACCTTCCAAACCCACGACCACTTCCATCTAGAATGACAAGGGCAGCAGACATATGGGAACACTGCAAGTTTCCCTCCAAGTCACACACCATCCTGACTTAGAAATATATTTCTGTTCCTTCAGTGTCGCTGGGTCAAAATCCTGGAATTCCCTCCCTAAGGGCATTGTGGGTCAACCCACAGCAGGAGGACTGCAGCGGTCCAAGAAGGCAGATCACCCCCACCTTCTCAAGGGGGCAACTAGGGACGGGCAAGAAATGCTGGACCCAGCCAGAGACACCCAAATCCCATGAATGAATTTTTAAGAAGCATGAAAATAATGGGCTGAATATCCTCCTCTTTTGTTGCTTCATTTTGTAATCTCCCACCTGCATTCACACCCAACTGTCACCATCTCCCCATTCAATTTGATCATGTCGATAGCGATAGGGCACAGGTGGCACAGCATGTGATTAAAAGGCACTTTAATTTTCATTTTTACCATACAGCATGTTTGCCTCCAAAACAATGGTCATTACAAATGAGAGAAGTGAAGATTTGCACGTGTAAAGAATAGCTCAAACTCTGAATCTCTGCAGTGGCTCAGTCTGTCACAAGGGTTAAATCCAACAGGTTGCCCTCAGTCAGCCCCAGCTAGCTGTCTGTTCTGTGCCGGAAAAGTGAGTCACAAGTCAGTGTAAAACACAACATTGGTTCTGGTACTGAATGACGTTTTAATAGAAGTTTCCTGTTTCTTGCTGCCACAATTAGTCTAGTGCAGAAAATGCCTACACCAGTCCGTTCTTCGTCTACCTTCAATCTGTCCATTTAAACTTGCCAGTCTGAGACACAGGAACCAGTCTGGGCCCTCAACAAGTCGCATCGGCCAAGAGAGACCGTGAATTCCATTTCTAATCAATGATATTCTGTGGGAGAGATGTGTCCAGGTTCTATACAAGTGCATATATATGTGGAGATATGTGTGAGGGCCTGATGAAAGGGAAGGTCACTCTGACTGGAGAAGGCGAAGGTAGTAGCACCAGGTGGTGAGCTGGTGATGGTGGCAGCAGGTTACAATCAAGAACCTTTCTAGCTCTCGGGGACAACCCTGCAAATCTCTCTTCCACATTTTACACCCTTTTCTGCTTCATGTTACTATTCGTGTTTGCCTTGCACCAGTATCAATTCTGTCACTTCATCTCGTTTGTTAACCCTCATTGATCTTACCTTCTGTTCTTCCTGCTGCTGTCCTTGCCTTGACACTTGCTCATTAAAGCCCTCACTAGATACAGCTCTGAAAGCTTAACTGTTTCTCTGCCCACAGAGACTGGATGCATCTGTTTGTTTTCTTTCACATTTTCAGCACTGACAATGTTTGCTTTCGACCAGGACAATATATATGTGGCATGTTCCCTTGTTCCCATCTCAGACCCAACACTGTGAAGGAGATACCGAGAAATGTCAGGCCCAGGTCCTTCTGAGCAAACCAGGTATAATGTGGCAGGAAACAGAGCAAGGGTCAGAAACACGGAGAGAGCAGGAGCCTGAGACAGTGATGGAGACGGAGACGGAGACAAAGCCTGAAATAGAGACAGAGACAGAGCCTGAGACAGAGAAACAGAGACAGATATGTTGCTGCCAATGAACTTTGTTGTTTCCAAGTTGTCTCTTCTCTGTCACTATGGTAGAGAATGAGGAGGGGTCTCTGAATGATGATCCCACACCTCCAGGTACTGTCAGGAAGTTCACACCCAGCTCCCATTCATATCCTACACCACAGACTTGTCCTCTGCTGAAAACACAT